TAAATCATACTTTGTAAAAATAAATCACTCTGATTCAAACAAAAAATTCTCGGAAACTGAACTTTATCAAGTTGCTTGATTTCTAGATAAACAACACATTTGTAATGTTTGGAGGACGTGTTTTTCAGCAAACAATCGGCATTCTTATGTGAACCAACTGTACTCCTCTTCTTGTCGACTTGTTCCTTTATTCATGTGATGCTGACTTCATACAGGAGCTTCTTAGGAAGAATAAAAAGAAACTACCATTATCCTTTAACTTCACTTTCCACTTTATAGTCCTCTTACTAAATAATTCAAAGTTTGGTTACTGTTGAACACATCTATCCCATCGAACTTGAACTAAAGGATACAGCAGATACAGTTAAGTCTGCCTCATATCTGACATTGACAACGATGGTCGGTTGAGAACAAAACTTTACGACAAAAGAGATGATTTCAGCTTCCTAATTGCAAACTTTCCATTTCTATGTAGCATATATATCTCCTAGTTGATACGATATTCCAGAGCTTCCATTTCCTATCATGATGTCCTTGATAGGAGTTTGCTACTCACAAGGAAGCTATTAAATCAAGAATTCAAAGTGGTGAAGTTGAAATAATCCTTTCGAGTTGGTTGACCGTTATGGAATATCTGTTTCACAGATGACGACGGATATGTTCCAAATGTCGTAACCAAAATCCCGTTCTCTCTCCTCTAATGTGTCCAACCGAATTAGAATTGTCACTGGGTTTGCACTTACACGAATAACACGACGGATGCCACTAGTGGAGTAGGATCTGCTTACCCATCCAGAGCACCTGAGACCACCCTCAGTTTTTGGTGGGGTTCGTGTTGCTCAGTCTTTAGTTTTCTATGTTGTGTTTTGCATACTGTTGTTTGTCTTTTTGGTCTTTTTCGTTTTTTGTCACCAGATTGTCCGTTTTGTTTTACTTATGAGTTTGAATGTCCCTTTGGTATCTTTCCTCTCTCCTTTATGAAAGAACATATACCTGACTTGTACACAATTAAGTAATTTTGATGCAATTTTCAGTAATAAAGATATTGTGACTAATAATTTTTAATTATGTCTCTCCATTTGAGAATATTTTTTTGTTTTGACAAAACGTGTTTAAACATAATGAATTTTTCCATTAAAATGAAGATATTTTATTTTGGCACTGGAATTCCAGTTATACACAATCGGTATTTTGAGTTGTTTGGAAAGTCACTACAATCTGTTGCATCTAATATCAACATTTACTTAAAGGAGTTTGACCGAAAAGCTATGTGATGGATCTACATGAGACAAAACCTCCATGAAATATAACGAAATAACCAATATGTCCAAAGAATTGCACCTTTATTGCTGTAACTCATCTTAAAAGTACACGGAAGGTTATCGTTCGCTGCTCTCTTATTTTAAAAAAATTTAGATCAAGTAGACATATACCGTTACCTTAATGATATTTTTGCTTCAAATTAATCAATAATTCTCTTATGATACTGCAGAATTTTACCTAAGTGTAATTACTTTAACGCAAACAGTAAAATATATCTTTTTGTAGACTTGGATATTCCAGTTTCACACAAACTATATACAAAAATTTACAAAATAAGAGAAGATATGTGTTCCCTCTTGTCATTTTTGAAAAATTTAATTTCAGGATATCCTTAAATGTTTATCGAGGTACACAATTATTTCAGGACCTCCGAAATTCCTCAATGATTTATGGATATCGTAAATTCGAATTATGGATGTCCGGAAATATTTTAGGGGCTCCTTAAATACAATAATTTTGACTAAATCCGTGACTCATATGATGAGGTTAACTTACATCTTTTGACTTTTGAACGTTTTAAATTTCGTTCAAAATATTGTCCATCCCAAGGGCTGACTAGGGTATAGCAATATGGAGTTCGCCCCATCCGACAGTAAAACCCGTTTGGCTGTGCGGGGTGTTTACATTCGTATCCTTTCTAAATATGCGCGAAATATTTGCACCTGGACATAAAACAAACAATCAACCAGAATATTCATATTTTCTTTGATCCATATAACACACTTCTGCTCTGAATCTAGATTTTCTTTTTTGTTTGTAAACTTTGCCATCATGAAAATATTAAAATGACCCTCTGAAATACGGAATGAGTACATATTTCCACAGTTTCACTGTGACTACTAATTATAGACATTAAAACTTTCCCTGCTGGAAAATAAACTTAATTTTACTGAACCATTAGCTTTTTTTCTTGCAAGATTTTGTGAATTTGCCGCTTTTTGGTCATGTATCTCAATGATATCATTGTTCTACAAATTATATTAACCTGAACAGGCAATTTGTTGAATTTTGTTTTAAAAATTCAGTCATTTAATACAATGACGTCGTATTTTTACTTATTTTATATAATGTTTATCAAGGTTAGGCATTTTATGAATTACCTGAAAATTCAGGCAGTTTACAACTTGTCTCAATTTAGCAAATGCCTGTAACATATATAATTGGCAAATTTCGTTATAACAAAATACTTAAAATCTTTAATACATACACCTTTTTGCTTTAGATTCACGATTTAACATTTTATTAGAGTATCACAACTTGCACAAGACAAAGAATATACACAATATAAAACAAACAATCTAAAAAGATAAAATACAAGTGCCATTTTTTTTTAAATTAGGAGAGACTTTAAATATATTTTTCACATACAATTCCCATAATATAACATTATTTCAAATAACTTCAATCTATGAATATAAATAGTATAGTATTTAAAAGCACTTCATATAACATATCTGTATGACATATTCTTAGACAAATGTAATTAATTTTTAAAATTGACCTTAAACAATTTATAGATCTAAACTTTTACCTTACATTTTTCACAATATTCATCTTTTTTCCCGGTTATCATTATGTTCATCAAATAAAACATTGTTTATTTGTAAAATATCTTTTTTTATGCAAAACATCAACTAGATTGGTATAAAAGTCAACATTACAATTTTTTAAATTTGTCATAGTTCTACAACACCAATTTCTCATGTAACAATAACATTTTTGTGACACCATTACAATATTCTATAGTTCAGTCTATGATCATAAGCTTACATCTAGCACAGGGTATAAAAACGAAAGACCACAGCCTCTTAACAATTGGAGTTTCCAACACATATTCCGGGATTTCCCATCGATTCATCATTAGTGGAATATCTGTCTACACCAATAAAATCTTGACAGCTTTGTGCTGGACAGCATTAAACACTCTGGTATCCCAGATGGCTGCACCATAACTTATTACTGACTAGACCAGAGTACCAAACGGTTAAGTAAATGTACTGTATTGGAAACCTCCCCCGTGTGGGTTAATTACTCTTCACAATAATTTAACTCAATGCTCTGTTTGCCTACTTTGCTACAGCTTTTGTCATCACAGCGTAATTTAAAAGTTCTGTCAATTATAAACCCAAATATTGATAATTTGATACAATACAAACTTATTGTTTATCAAATAAAAAATGTCTTTGTTTTGTTTGTTTTGCAGATGAATTTCTGAACTGTACAACTTTACTCTTCTCAAGATTATTTTGTAGAGAATTGGTTGAATCGTAAACAATAATCAACGAGCGACGTTAGTCTTTTCGCTTGGTGACAATTCTTATCGAAAGTTTTACTTTTATTTAAGGAATGACTGTTATATTTTTTCTGTCTATGAAGAAATAAATTAAAAATGTGGTGAACACTGAATAACCCGCGTAGCGTGTTATTTAAAAGTGTGCACCACATTTTTTAGGTTATTTCGAATAGACAGAAAAAATATTACAGTCATTCCTTATAATTTAATTCTAATTTCCATTTTAAAGGAGTAAATTTTGAAAAAAAAACGTTGGTGACGTCACGGTCACATGACAAAATTATGTCTATGAGCTGATACACAAAACACTTTCAGCCAATCAGAAGACGTGTTACATCCAAAATTAAATTATTCACAAATATATGACGTTCATTTTTCCGATCGTGGTTATGACGTCCACACCAAGTATGTTCAGCTTTACACACCTCATTCCCGAGTTTTGTAAGGTTGTCTGTACAAGTATAAAGACTTATTACAAACGAAATATCGCATCCTAATTTTAATGGAGATTTTGTTTATAGAGCCCATAGAATAAGATGCGAACTATGAAAACCTTTTGATGCTTTGAATAAACTTATTCTTTAATGTTATCAATATAACACTGTAGTAAGATTTTTAGATATTGATCGATACCAAAATTGACTTTGTAATTTTAGATTAAAATTAACTAAATATGTATTGATATACATTTATGGACACTTATGATCGAACTTTCTGTCCAAACTTATATTTTGGCGTTGAACAAGGTCATGCTTTTCTCTGACCGTTTATGACTTTTCTTTACACCAAATCCGTTCGATATGTACTGATTAATATGTTAGTCTGGGAAAACATGAATTATCTATTAGTTGTATTTGGATTTAAACTATCTTTCGGTATCTGCGATGACTCTTACTTTGTGTATGTTGTCTTTCTTGTAAGTTTTCTATGCTTCCTGTCGATCCGAGGAGTCAAGCCTTTTCCAACTGATTTAACGGTTTGTTCTTATGTTGTACTGCTACACAACTGTCCCAGGTTTTTGGAGGGTTGACCGCTCGAAAACATGATCAACCCACCACATTCTGTGTGTGCCTGTTCCAAATCAGGATCCTGTATTTAAGTGGTTGCCATTTATTGCTGTACTAGTGTCTAATATTTGTTTTTGTTTATTGTTTTTCCTCGTTGAATTGATTCATATTTTGTCATGCCGGGGACTTTTATAGCTTAGTTTGGTTTGGAATTTGCTAATTTGTTGAACGCCATAAGGTTAACTATAATAGCTATAAAGAGGTCCAAATGACACTTCATATTTAGTAGAATGTTAAAACGTTTCCCCCAAATGTTATTACTCCTTAGAGCAAATAATTAAAATGAAATTGTGCAAAGAAAATTAAATTAAAAACTCTTTCATGGTTGTCATTTTAATAGATTTCAGGCAGATTTAAGTATCTCTACAATATTTCCAGTGCAGCTGTAAACTACGTTATCAGAACTCGTGTCTTAATAAAGTGCGTACACTGCAGATTCAGAATAATTCGCAACTATCAATTTGCCTTTGTTCACATCAAACGCTAGTCCAAAAGGATTATCAATTCCGTCATCTTGTTCAAGCAGCTTCCTTGCTTGCTTTCCATCCGATGATAACACAGTTATACTATGATTATCATTTGAAGCAATATAAACGTTTGAGTCTTTATCTACAGCTATCCCTTGCGGAGAACATACTGATTGATCTTTGTATTCCCACATCTTCTCTCCAGTCAATGAGCAGGATGTTACTGTGTGGTGTGAGCTATTGGTATAATATATTTTGTCTTCAGATGTTGCCACATAACTCCAGTTTGACAAGGTGTCGTCTTTAACCAAAGTAGAAGTGAATTTGCCTGACACCTTTATACTCTGAATACCTTTACCAGTACCACAAAACATCAACTGGCCATCTCTGTAGCTTACACCGTAGCATTTACTGGCCGTTTTTCTTGTGCGTTCAACGTTTTTAGTTGTAATATTAATGATTTGTATTTGTTTTGAATCAGGAAATGAAACAGCGATTTTCTTGTCATCGATAAAAGTAACATCTACTGGATTTCTAGTTGACAGGGGTATCCCATTCCTCAAGGTTCCATCTTCGTTTAGAATCAGTACACGATTGCTTTGCTTGTGTATAATAATGATGTCTCCAGTAGAAGAAACGGAACATCCTGTGACTCCTGTATATTCAATATTTGTTTGTAATTTCATTTTAATATCTTTGATAGCTGACGGTGGAGCAAGTTGAACAGACCTTGTCTGTACTTGTTTTTCTTTCCCTGTATGCATTACAACCAACGGAGGGCTTGATTGGACGGATACTGATCCTATTGAAATAACTGAAGACAATAAATCGGATACTGTGTCATTGAATTTACAGTTTATGTCCATTTTCTGCAAACTTGCATCTTCAAATAAAGATTGGATAAATATTTCATGTTTCTGAATTTCTGTCTCAATCATTTTACTCCCAAGAAATGCTTGTAGGTCTGACGCATATTCTTTGATAGTTCTCATATCAGTTTGCAGTAGATCCACCTTTTCTGTATTTTCAGCAACTTTTTCCAGTAAGTCTTCTATTTGTGATTTAATTTTCTTTTCGGCAGCATATAGATCATGAAGTATTCTCTGTTCTAAGTTGTCAAGGTGCTCGTTTATTTTAATTCGGACTTGTTTTATTTCGTCGTGAAATTTCTGTCTTTGTAATTGGATTTCTGCAAGATTTTGTTTTCTATCTTTAACGACTCTCTCGACATTCATTTTGATATCTTTCAGATTCAGATCAAGACTTTCCAATAAGGCTGAAGTCTTTGCGGTTTCTATGACTTTCTCCAGTGATAATATCCCCATACACTTATCATGGTTGGACTGGATACACAGTGGACAGCAGAGACTTTCATGTTGCAAACAATAATTCTGGAATTTTCTGTTATGCTCTGAACAAAACTGTGAAATATTGGCGATCGATGGAGGCAATTGTTTATAGTTGTCGATAGATATGACTCCGTGGTAACGTAGAGCTTTTGATGCATTGTGAAAATTCCAACATTTGGAGCACAGTCCTTCGTCGCATTCAGGACACCAGAACTCCGCAGTTGTAGTTGTGTGCTGAGACTCACAAACACCACACACTACGATGCTGGATGATGCCATATTAGTCTTTACTCTGCAGAATAAATGATTTAAGCGTTAGTCTAGTTTTTATTTTACATTTTTGTTTTGTTTTATAACCGTTCGTTGAATAATTGGTGATTTTAACTGCAATTCTAGTTTCCTTAAATAGTATATTTGGCGCCATACAGTTGAATATATACTACTGTGAGAATGCTAATAAACCAAAATAAATGACATTCCACTGAGTTCCTTGAATTGACTGGCAAGACAAAAATTGATCAATATACTTGAAGTTGGCATTACTCTGAGCAAATAATCTTAATAATAACATTGTACAGATGATTACTCTTTGGTCGCATCAGTAAGAATGTTAGAAATATTTTCAGAGTTATACATTTTTGTTCATTAATTTGCTCTGGACAGATTTGTAAAGTATACGATATTTAACAGTACCTTCAAGGTTCAAGTAACAAAAAGAAAAATGAAGGTGTAAAAAAAAAAGCTGTCAGTTTTGGAATTTTGCTCTTTTCTAACACTTTTTAAAGAATTAAGTTTTTGTTAGTGAAACAATTTCAACACAAAATGCAAAGGTACCTATTTGTAACCGACGCAAAATCAATATGATAGGGCAAAATATCGAAAAATCTCGTTGAGATTTTTAACTTAGATTTTGATACAACAAATTTAGGATAAAGTATCAGTACTACGATAATAAAAGTCATAATATATTACCTGCATGTGTGGAGTTTAAAAAAGAGGGACGAAAGATACCAGAGGGACAGTCAAACTCATAGATCGAAAACAAACTGACAACGCCATGGCCGACCCTAAATATTTCATATTGGAGTTTTCTTCCTTTCGGGTTTGGACTACCACTTTTTTTTTCTATATTCGCGATATGATTTTTGGCAAAGTTTGAATACACATTTTGTTCACATATGAGGGATTATTACTTTCAGGACATAAAATAGACTAGAGACTCTAAAGAGCATGTGTCACTCACCGGGATCTATGTGCATCTTCAACAATGGCCACTCTCAAACATCACATAGTAGACTAGAATACAATTCATGATTAAGTTCTATAATTTTTGTTGACCGTTTCTTGCTAATCATAATAATGATAATATCGGATATTTTGACCTATTGTCGATCTTGTTTTGCAGATGATTTTTGCTGTTTGCAGGTTTTCTATATCCACCAAAGTTTTCGCCCAAAATGCAAAAATGGGTAATTATCATCATTCAATGTCAGTAACTACTAAAAAGAGTTGACTAACAATTTCGGTTAGATCTTATCCTGCCGATTATTTTTGTATTTGATTTTTCCACTATAGTTTTCAAGATTAAAAGTAAAAACGCAAAAAATGGTAACAATCGTCATTTAAGGGCAACATCTCTGTTAGGTGTTGGCTGATTATTTTGGCAATTTTAACTTATTTTCAGATCATGTATATCTGATTACTTTTGCATTTTAAATTTCCATTTATCTTTTACTGTTTAAGGTAATAGAAAAATATGGAAAAAAACTTGTTTTATTTTTCTCTAAGGGCAAAAACTTTTATAAAAAGACACACGATTATATTGACCGCAATATTGACTCAAACTAATATTGTTATATATACATATACATATGCACATTCACGGTTCTACAGTCTGTCGATATCTATATTTTGGCATTGCACAAGGTCATGTTTTTCTCTGTTTATGACGTCTTTACACTAAATCCATTGAATCTTGGGTGTGTACTGATTGATACTTTAGTCTTAGATACATGATTTTGTATTAGTTGTAATTGGCTTTGAACTAGTTGTAACTAACTGCGAGTACTCTCATATCTGTACTTAGTATCTTTTTTTTTGTGGGAATGTATACATACCCTGCCACGTCCAGTCTGTGTTTTTGTTATTTGTTTTTCTGCTTTGTATCGATCTGACGAGTTAAGCCCTTTTCAACTGATTTTTATAGTTTGTTTATATGCTGTGCTGTTATACCACTGTCCCGTGTTAGGGGAGGGTTGGGTACCCACAAATATGTTTAACCCCGCCACATTATGTATGTTCCTGTCCCAAGTCAGGAGCCTGTAATTCAGTGGTTGTCGTTTGTTGCTGAATATCATATTTGTTTTTTGTTCATTGTTTTTTACATAAATCAGGCCGTTAGTTTTGAATTGTTATACAATTGTTACTTCGGGTCCTTTTATAGCTGACTATGCGGTATGGGTTTTGCTCATTGTTGAAGGCCGGACGGTGATCTATGGTTGTTAACTTCTATGTCATTTGGTCTCTGGTAGAGAGTAGTCTCATTGGCAATAATTCCACATCTTCTTATTGTTATATCATTTGTAGAGTCTGTCTTGTAGATTTGTAGATCATGTTTGCTGTTTATAATTTCTCCCTAGCTATCTATTATAGTTTAAAAATAAAAGGCAATAATACAATTTTTTTGGGGTTAAATTCGTCATTTAAGGTCGACAACTTCTTTAAGAAGACAACGGACGATTCCGACTATGTTGAGTTTATGGTAAATCTTGACAAATGTCTTGCTAATGTTTTTGCTATTCAAATTTCTCTCTATCTATTATAGTTTCAAGATAATCGGCAAAAATGCAAAAAAAATAAATGTTAAAATTCGTAATTAAAGGGCAATTACAGTTTTGATGTATATAAACAGTACTCTATAGACATGTCACTGTCAGATTTTCTTTATCTAAATCGAGTCTGATGAGCTCAAAAGTCAATTGGAAAAAAACTTGGAGAGTTAAATGTGTGATAAAAGACAAACTTTCAGGCTCGGGTTTCCATTATTACTGTGATGGAAATAAGTAAACCTTAAAGTCATTTGATACTTAAAATTTGATAAAAATGAATTTGAAAATGTATTATATACTTGAATGGCTAAGTTTTACTATAAGAAAAAAATGTACATAGACTTTCTTATTCAAGAAAATCCTTTATTTTTTTCAAAATCTTAATAAATGTACTGTCGTTGAATTATTGTCTTCCCGTACTCTAATTCGCCGTCAGCTTTTTTCGTATACAGCGACCTTAACCATGTCACCTTTCGTTAAAACTTCGGCAATCGCACAGCGCAATTGCGAGGGAAACCGTGATGAAAGAAAAGGTAAACAGACATAGAAAGAAGATACTATTAACCGATTCTGAAATTTAAAAAAAAATCACCAAATCAGTTAACAACTGTTATGACAAAGTTTAACTAACAAATGGTCACGCATATATGGAAAACATAAAAAAAATATATATCGCTCTATCGTCTCACTTTTTTCCACGTGTTCCATGATTCTGTGTTGATTGTTTATCAATAGGTAACGATCGATAAATTTCGGCACCAAAACCCGAAATTTGCAGGTAAAATTTCGATGATGAAATAATTTCTGTCGATTAGTCTGTATGGATTCGTAATAAATGTAAACAAAAACGCGAGCAGAGGACTTAGTTTAACATATATGCATGCATTTGTTCAATAATTTCCTAAACATAATAATTACCAGAAACTCCTTTCATAGGACTTTAAATTGATTGATAATTATTGATCCTGTTTGAATAAAAACATTTATATACATAAGATAAAACATTCAAATTCTGCTTTATATGCATAAACGTTTATCGAATGATAAGGATTACAAAAACAAAATATCTGTTTACAGATTTCCGGCAAATTTCCGGCAATTTCTGGTTCATGTCACCACTTTTACCGTCAGGTGAAATCATATGCTATATTGTAGTAGTAATACGCAATATATGCCACCAGTCTTTTGCGTGCCTTTTTCAGTAATGCTAAACCGACTATCTCGATTGGAACATGACTTGCATCAGTTCTTGCATAAAATACACTAAGGATAAAGTCTACTCCGAATATTTGTGCTCGACACCGTAAATTGACGAATTAGTAGTACTATTATATTCTAAGAACTGAAAGTATCACATGTACCTATTAATGAATATTGCGGCTGTTTTTTGTTTGTTAAAGAGACGTTACTTTGTCTGGCTCCATTTTTTAAAATGGCTAATATTGATTTTTTGCCTGTTTGTATTGGTATTTAAAGGTAAGGGTAAAAGAAATGGAAACGAGGGAAAAGAAACCACGGCGACGGTAAATCAAAGTGATCTAAAATCAGGAAAGATTGGAAGAATTGTGTGTACAATTTCAATCACATTTTACTCCTTCATTGCAGTGATGGTGGACAAGAACAACTTTTTATATAAAGCACTATTTCATATTTGTTAGTTATATTACTGCAGATTTTTTAGAAAGATAAGCAATTTTTAAGTGAATAAAAAGCTTAATAGGGTTATGTCAGTGGGTCACTAAATTTGTATAATAACTTCTTTCAAATTGCTACTTAATACTTATATTTTTTTAAACAGACGAAATTACCTAATAAAAAAAGTTATCATTGTAGTTTCTCAGTAAACCTGGGACCAATGGTTAAAGAGACTTGAAACTTAAATTCCATTTTTTATCTCCCAAAATTAACCTCTGAATGGTTGTTTTGTGGGCATGTCTGTGTTCAAACATTCCTAAGTATACCTTATTGATTTTGATTAAAACAATAATGTATGACATTGAAGATGCATGGTTGACAATAAACTTAATATGATGTTTTATTCTATTGTCCAAAGATGGCAGATTTTAATCTTTGAGGCATGAACATATTCTTTTAATATTTTAAACTAAGAAGGTTAACTGATTTTTTAAATCTTCATTATGACATAACGAAAAGAAAGAGGAATGTTCAGGATTTTCATTGAATTTGATTTCATGTTTACCAGAAACAGGTTTTCCAAGACGAATAATTTAAGACATTTATCTTATTTCTTGTTAAAATAAGGGAAAATATTATATTGCAAAAATACATTTCCTGTATTAGAATATACAAATACCTTCACTGATAAATGTAACCTATTAAAATTATGGATTAATGACAGATAATTGTTGTACAGATTTTGCAAGAAAAATAGACACCACTTGGATTTTTTACTCATACAGATTTTCTTTTTGGTCTTTCTTAAAAAAAAATACATTATGTATTAATCCTTACTCAATCATCTTTCAATCAAAATTTACAGATCATTTGTTTAATGCAGTGTAAATCAAAAGTTATATATAGGTAAAGGATTAAATCTATCATCTGTATATAATATTAATAAGGACATGCCCATTTAATATTTATGTTAAATACAATTAAACATGAAGATTGAGACTGACCCATATAGATCAAATTATATCTGATACTAATGAGGTCAAAGTTTGTGTATTGAGTGGTCTGTCATGTTATGCATAAACTTAAGATATGATTTGGTCAATTATGATTGCCATTAAGGAGGAGGAGTCTATATAGAATTCCAATTATTGACCCACCCTTTGTGTTTAATTGTACCTTGATCATGACAGTTGTCAATCATACTGGTAATGTATCAATACTCTTACACAAGTAACAAGACAAATTAGAACTAGCCAGTAAATAGAAAAAAGTAATGACTAGTATTTTTGAAAAAATACTTTAAATTAAGATGTAACCAAATGTTTTACAGTTAAATTGTGCATATGTACACAGACATGAGAACAATTGGGAACTTTATGTCAGTGTGTATAGATTAAGTTACTGATTTAGTAGCTAATCTGTCCACTTTCTGTTTGGGAGGCCGGTGCCTTAGAAAAGATTTGGAACAATCTTTCCAAAAAAACAAAGTGCATTTGAGCACTGAATGATAAAGCTTGCATTCATTTTGCAGTGGGAACTAATCAAACACTGCATTGGACTGCATTGTATCAAGACTGAAAGGCAATAATATAAAATGTAGAAATTATTGAAGTTGGTTCAACTACAATTATCGGTAGAGGAGGATAACTTCAATCTTAAATATTGCTTTAACAATGATAGCATTGATATTTTAAGAACAGACTTGATTCATACACCATTCACAATTTATGTTAATGTCTTGACAATCATGATTATACACATGCACATCACTTTGTAACTCAAAGTCGAATAAAATCAGACATCACAATGGCCATACAGAAAACTGACTAAAAGACGAACACCAGTCCACAAACACTACACGGAAAAAATAAAGATTGAGCAACATGAACCGAATCAAAAAACGGGGTAAACTTATGACAAAATTATTACACCAGGGTTTTCGATATCATAAACTAGTCAAAACATTTACTAAATTTTATCATCGGTATAAGGACATCATTCGTAAATATAACTCAACATGCAGACATCTTATACGTTCGGGTATTTCACATCCAATCTTTTATGGTAATATTCTTTACAAAGCACAAAAATGTCAGTATTCACCTCAAAAGCTAACAAAACCTTTAAACAGACTTATTAAGAAGGGATATAGTTACGATACTGTTGTCAGGTCATTAAAGATTGCATATTTTGGCTTTAATATTGATTCACTTATAGGGTCTTTGCATCGGAATTAAACATATTTATTCTTAAACCAGTTGTTGGCATGACACGGGTTATGTTCTTCTCATATATTTTATGACGGTATAATACTAAACCCCTAACAGGAGGGATTGTGCCTGATATTCATATGATGAAGACGACATAATCTTTCAATCAGTTTAATTGAGGTCTGGAGCTGGCATGTCAGTAACTGCTAGTAGTCTGTTGTATTTATGTATTATTGTCATTTTGTTTATTTTCTTTTGTTTCCTATTCTGACATCGGACTCGGACTTCTCTTAAACTGAGTTTTACTGTGCGTACTGTTGTTCGTTTGTTTTTTCTACATTGGCTAGAGGTATAGGGGGAGGGTTGAGATATAAAAAAAACATGTTTAACCCCGCCGCATTTTTGCGCCTGTCCCAAGTCAAGAGCCTCTGGCCTATGTTAGTCTTGTATCATTTTTAATTTTAGTTTCTTGTGTATAATTATGAGTTTAGTATGACGTCCTATATCACTGAACTAGTATACATATTTGTTTAGGGGCCAGCTGAAGGACGCCTCCGGGTGCGGGAGTTTCTCGCTGCATTGAAGACCCATTGGTGACCTTCGGCTGTTGTCTGCTCTATGGTCGGGTTGTTGTCTCTTTGACACATTCCCCATTTCCATTCTCAATTTTATTATGTGCTCCGGATATATGAGTGATTTATTTAAGCTTGGAATCTACACCAAATTGAATGTTTTAGAATGTTTACCTGCATTGATGAGTGATCAAGAACCAGGAAGATTAAAAGTAAAAATCGATTTCGTGACGACATATAATACACGTGACTCTATAGGTTACAAGAGCGCAATTGTTCGTAATGCATTTCCATAGGATACCAGTGGTGTTCCATATTTTATTTCTTGACGACTTCACAAACTAGAAAAAACCTGTAGCAGTTCCTATTATTAGAAATGTCAGCGTTGTATAAGAGCCAAAAAAATATATACGCTCATGCTGCAAAAGTTTACTTAAAATGCAGTTGAAAAAAACTATTTGTTTCGTTTAGTGGACGGCAATTTCTTAATGGCTCTCTCGTTCATGTATAGATTAATATACATTTTGTAAAATATGGGTTTATTATTTTTTATTGGCCTATTTCTACAGTTTGTAAAATATGGGTTCATTATTTTTTATTTTTGAAACCTAAATGGATAAGATTACGATGAGAAATAATTCCAACATTGTGGTTTTTTTCACTAAGGACATTTTCCCATGTATTTGCACCACACTCAGTATTTGTATGCATATAAATCATTCATCTCCAGGTAAATGTGTAGTTTTGTTTAAGAAAGGTTTATAAAGAAGGCAGGACCAATATAACTTTTTTCAAATGTATGCTCATCTAGTCGGAAACATTAATTTGCAAAACTTGGTCAAGATAAAGTAGCATGATTCACCTGACTTCGACCACATTTCATGGATCACTTTTTTTTTTTTTTAAATCTACATTTATCACCACTAGAAAGAAAAGAAACTGTTTGCCCATAATTTCTAAACGTATTACATTTATATTGTTGGCAATTCGGCAAACTCTATAGAATGAAATAATCTCATCAATGATACCAGGCTTTGTGTACGCCAGACACGCGTTTCGTCTACACAAGACTGATCAGTTACGCACGAATCAAAAAGTTAAAAGGCCAAATCAAGTACGAAGTTGAAGAGCATTGAGGATATTATTATTGACTACTAACTTTCCATTCAACTGCTTCCAATGATTCATAAGGAACTAAAAACAAATAGAAGCTTATACATCGCCATCATCATCGTCGTCAATGTTTCTTACTGCAACTAGAAGGGTATTGACATTTCGACATAGTTTATATCATTTGATAGGCGATTGTACGTTCCCTATTGTTAATTTTCCTTTTTTGGACAGTAATGTTCCTTTGACTCCTTCTACGGTGTTTATATATCCCAACTCGTTTTCTGTGTCCTTGTCTATCGTGACGGTTCACATTTCATTGAACGCATAGCTGTTAAATTATTAAGTCAGGGATTTCGTAACCATATATGTAAACATTTGGTTTTTAAATTTGGGTTTATCTTAGAATTCTTATAAAAACAGGTTATCGCATTCTAATTTTTACGGTAATATTGTTTATCGGTAATTTGTACATTTTTCCTTTGATGTGTACTCATCATATGTATTGCTTTAAATTTATGACAGCTTATGGTCCTTCCCCCTATCGATGACATCACTTATATTTTGGCATCGTACAAGGTCATGATTTTTTCAGGTTGTTGATGACGTCTTTACATGAGTGAATTCTCTTAGATCGGTACTTTGTGTCTTTTGTCTTTATGTTAGTTGTTTTTGTGCTTCGTGTCGAGCTGATGAGTCAAGCCATTTCCCACTGACTTTTACAGTTTGCTCTTATATTGTGATGTTACACCATTGTTCCTTGTTGAGCGCTCACAAACACGTTTAACCCCGCGACATTATGTATATGCCTGTTCCAATAGTTATCAAAGGTACCAGGATTATAATTTAGTATTAGGAGCCTGTAATTCAGTGGTTGTTCTTTGGTTAACAGGTTTTCGTTTATTGATTTCTCATATATCAGACCGTTAGTTTGGATTGTTTCTCATTTTGTAATGTCGGGGTCTTTTATAGCTGACTTGACATCTATATTTATATGGTATGGGTTTTTCTCGTTGTAAAGGGCCGTACGGTGACCTATTATTGCTTGAATTCACGTCATTTTGACTCTGTTGAATAGTTCTCCCATTGGTAATCATACCATATCTACTTATTCTTATATCAATTGGTGTATCCTTTCTCAGCAAATATTTTATTATGCAACCTGAATGATAGACGGCATCCCAATACATGCTTATAGAATAGAAAACCAAAGGATGAGGAAATCCATCTATTACACAAAATCAGTACATGCACGTCAAAGTACACATAAAAAGCAAAGGAACAGCGCTTTAATTGCTGTTCGTTCTTCTTCTCAAAGTCACAGTGAGGCCTACAACACGGAGCAAAACACTCTCACCTCATTTAAGACGGACGCTAGCACTGGCTTGAGCGGAATTCTTTGCAAAAATAATTAGGATAGACTCTGCAAGATGTGACACTACCAAATCAGGCCGGTCAATAGATATCATTTATTCGAAGCATCTTTCTCTTCGAAAACTGGTTTTCTTAATTTTAGCTTTTTGTCATTTGATTTTATTTTTTGAAGCTCTCGATCGTGTTACCAAAATGTAATCTTTTCACCCAAAAAAAAAAAAAAAAAAAAAAAAAAAACATGCATCCAAATTTGAAACTTGGCAGAAAGATTGAAAATCCATGCTTTGCAAACATGTTTCAGTTGGCTGCAATGGCATACCTATTGCCAAAACAGAAATAACTGCAGTTGTGCCTATTTATATGGAAATAAGAAGATGTGGTTTGATTGCCAATAAGACAACTCTCCACAAGAGAACAAATGACACAGAAATAAACAACTAAAGGTCACCCTACGGCCTTCAACAATGAGTAAAACCCATACTGCATAGTCAGCTATAAAAGGCCCCGAAATGACAAATGTAAAACAATACAACGAGAAAACTAACGGCCTGATTTATGTACAAAATAATGAACGAAAAACAAATATGATATACAGCAACAAACGACAACCACTGAATTACAAGCTTCTGACTTGGGAGAAGCACATAAAGAATGTGGCGGGGTTAAATTATTTTTTAAGGCGCGCCAACCCTCCCCCTAATCCGGGACAGTGGTGTAACAGTATAACATAAGAACAAACTATAAAAATCAGTTGAAAAGGGCTTAACTCATCAGATCAATACAAAGCAGAAATACATCTAACAAAAAACAGACTGGACGTGGCAGGGTATTTACATATCCCCACAACAAAAAGACACTAAGTACAGATCTGAGAGTACTCGATAATAACTCGTAGGATTTCGTGTAAAGACGTCATTACCAGTCAGAGAAAAAAACATGACCTTGTGCAATGCCAAGATAAGGTATCGACAGATTATAGAGCCATGAATGTGCATATATATACAAATAATATTTAGTTTGATTTTAATTTACTTATAACAAAATCTACAATATTCAAAGATCTAATTATAGTGTTGAATTGGTAGCCTTTTAGAATAAGTTTATTTAAAGGATCGATAAGTTTACCCGGATCGTATCTAAATTTCCAAGCTCGGTAAACAACATATCCGTAAAAATTAGATGTGCTATCCCGTTCAAAATAAGTTTTCTACAGGTACAACCAAACTTCCAAACCAAATCTTGATATCTATGGAAGAATTTAGTAAAGGTTTTAAGTAATTTGTGGTAACGAAATCCCTGACTTAATAGTTTACCAGTAATACACAGATTACGTTCATTGAAATCCAAAACGTCACAACAAACACGGGCATAGCGAACGAGTTGTGATATATAAACACCGTAAGATGGTGCCAAAGGAACATCACCGTCCAAAAAAGGAAAATTAACAAAGGGAACGAACATTTGAAGTGTAGAATTTCCCGTGTAAAACTGAAATATCTAAATCTAGGAAAGTACAGTTATTACCGTTTATATTTGATTTATTTAAAGTAAGTTCATGTATGATTTATAGCACGAACGATGGTACATTATTTTGTAATCATCATTCTGAAATTAATTAAGGTGGAAATATCATGCAAGACCATAAACTAGACTTGACCGGGCTTCGATAGCCCGATAAGGCTATTTTTGGTTATGTCTCTCATATTTATCACATACACGAGACCGAACAATTTGGTTTTTATACTACAATGACACATAAAAACCAATTGACAAAAGTTTAAAGTTATAAAAAAACGACACATAAAAATACTCCTCCGTGTGACTTAATTTGTGCTTTAGTCATATGAAACGAGTTTCTTGTAACTATAATGTTATCTAAATTATTGAACCAATGCATGCATATATACTAAACTAAGTCCAGTATGCACGTTTTTTTATTTACATTGATTACGAATATATAACGTATTATCGACAGATATTATTTCATTCAGTGATTGTTGATCGCAAGCTAATTAACTTTAGAGTTTGTTGCCGAAGTTTACCGCATCGTGACATGGATAAACAATCAAATTTGAGCCCGTGACAAATAAGTGTAAAGCGTTCCTTCGCCAGAATTCCTACACTGTAAATATGACGACTGGTTTAGTTATAAACGTTTACAAAATAGAAAACTGAGGTGTACCAAAAGCCTTATGACACTATATTCGTTGTCTTGGTAGATCTTAATCAAAGGATATTATGACATAGAGGGTCACAAAATTACATTTCCCCGAAAACGGAACATTTTGATGCATACAAATGAGCATCTGACAACCATAAAAATGTGTATCGAAGAAGAACTTTCCTCATAGCCTATCTGCATATAAATTACCGTTTTAGCAATGGTTATAAAAGAAGATTCTAATATTTCTACAACTTTATTCTGTGAATATTTTGATCCTTTATAGGACATATCAATCTTAAATATGATATTTTCAGTTGCAACAATTTTAAAACATTGGAATGTTATTGTTTTGCATTAAATAACAATATCTGATGATTGCATATCAAGAAAAATAACCCTTCAGTGCATTTTGGAGCTAAAAATAATCACAATAAATAAAAAATTGACAATTGCTAATCATGTGTAAAAAGTTTATTTCCAGACATATTATTTCACCATTATAGCAAATAATTAAAATGTTCGAACTTTGTTACTGGTGTCATTGATATAGATTTCAGGCAGATTTTAGAATTTTTTGAA